GGGTACATCTTCAGAGAACCCGTCCAAAAAGGCCCGAGGAAGGCCTCCTAGTTCTTCAAAAAAGCAGCTTGATGCTTTAGGTATATATACAGTATATTATTGCTGTTGTTGTAATTTGAGTTTTGACTTGTTTGGAAAAAAGAATACTGTCTTTTTGGGTTTCTTGAACTTCTTTCTACTATTCAGTTTGCTTGCAGTAAGTGATTCTTGGGATTCTTGATGGTTGACAGGTGCAGCTGGAGTCGGCTTTACGCCCCATGTGATCACAGTGAATGTTGGGGAGGTATAATTTGTTCATTTGTTTTTTATTTTCTTTTTTGGTAAAGTATGTTATGCTGTTTCTACAAAACATGCTCATTTACCTACTGAACGTGTTAGAAAGTATCTATCTACACTGTTATATGCATGTTTTACACTGTGTTTTTGCATTATAATGACTTTGCGACAAATATTTTTTGAGAGAGAGTGAATTCTTGATACAGAAGCATCTCTTTTTGGTGAAATTGCAAACTCCCGAATTTTCTGAAAGGAAAGTCACATTTCTGTCTCCTTTAAAATGCAAATGAGACAAAAAATGACCAACAATCTTGTTGGAGATTTTTATAGCATAGAGAATGTATGCATTTATGTAACTGTTGCTACGATTTGAAGATTTCATTGGTGAAAGTCAACGATTTTGCTGCACACGAGCTCAAGAGGGATGTAGTCATATCAGTGTAACATGAGAAGTAATTTAGTTGCTCTTCGATACCCTTGATCCAAAGGGTTGGAGGGATTCATCTTGGAACTTTTAGATCTAGGATTGGCCGTGGAGCTCACAATATCATTTGAGACGTGCTTAAGCCCTGAACCTAGGTGTAGAGCAAGCTGAGTGGTTACCTTGTTTAGTTGGCACATTGTTGTTAAGAGTCATAGCTTTGTCATCTGAAGCGAGGGTAGCGCTTTATAGGTGAATCCATGGGCTTGATAGAGATGTGCGCTTCAGACAATGATGCTCAAGGTAACCCAAAGGAGAAGCAATTGGTTATTAAATTTGAGAAGTTGAACTAATATCGATAGACATCATTGTATTTTGACGCTAAAGATATTATTTTACTTGCAATTTCATTACTTCCTCCGGTCCATAATAAGTGACTTTTTTACCTTTTTATTTTGGTCCAAAACAAGTGTCCTTTTACATAATAATCAAGAAAGAGTTCACTTTATTTTTCCAAATTTATCCTTATTTACTTATCCCTAGAAAGTTTTATAACTTACTCCAATTTTTAATGATAACATTAAATAGGTTCAGCAATTGATGTGCGCTAAGTGTGAGAATAACTTCCTCACATTTTTATCACATTCTCAGGCGGATTGCCATTAATATAATTAGATTTGTGTGTTGAGAAGTGACTTGAGAAGAGAAGTTTAAAGGTTTATTTGTTGCTTCGCTAAGTGCCACTTTAAGTTGGAGTATAATAGAGCTACGATAAGTGCTACTATACCTACTTATGCAAATTTTAATTGAGGGTAGTTTAGTAACAATATCTATTTTTTTTTGGGAGTTAGTATTTTCTTAGTGGATGTGCCAAAGGTAAAGAAATCACTTATTATGGACCGGAGGGAGTATTATATTACTAAATTCATATTGTTTCGCATTCTTTAATTTTTTTGTAAGTTGTGTGCTTCACTTCAAAGAAGAGCGCATTTTACTTCTCGCTTTTTGCTTCAAGCCCCATGAAGCTTGTCGCTTTTTTGCGATTTTTTCTTTTATAAACACTGGCTTGGCACTTAGTGTAGGCACAATGATGCTAAGGCATGCGCCTCACATGCCCACAGGAGCTGACCTATGTTTTGTCTATTTTCTACGAGATTAGATGGCTATTTCAAGCAATATATATAAGAACCATCGAGGAGATGATATGGATGGATATGGTAGTGATTATGAATAATATAGTAGAACTTTAATATAAGAAATCTTCTTGGTATTATGAATTAACTTAAATTTTGCATTGTTGAAAGAAGGGGAAAAAGATCTATATAGGCGATACAAATTAGTTGGGATTAAGTTTATTCATGATCTCTTGTTTACTTTAGGGCCAGTGTTTCCAGGAGTCTTGTCATCTTGTCAGAGATTTTTATATATGCGGTAGAGTTACAAAGAACTTCTAGTGCTTTTTCTTAAATTATATTTTATATAATATTGGACTGTTAGTTTAAATGGAGTGACATGGACAGTGATGTTTCATATGGCCCCTTATAAAAAAAATAGATGGCAGTAACCAGTCAGTATAATAAGATGTGCATGTGCTAGGCTAACCTGATATTACCTGAATACCAGTTTTTGATCCGACAAATGCTTCAACCTTTTTCCGTTCCTGGTCAAACCTGTATGTTAACAAAACAGGTAATCAGTAAAAAGACAAAATCTTAACTCAAATGTGACACCTTAATTCTTTTTACTCTAGCGATCACAATTTGTTTGGGATTGAGGCATTGTTAGGTATCTTCTGGCTTGAAGGTTACTCACCCCTAAGGTGTAGTAATTCTACTACCAAATCCCCCTACCTGGTGTGCTTTTGCTCCCTTCGTCATTTGAACCCTAACCTTATGGTTGGAGATGGATGATCTTTGCCACCAGCTGGAGTGCTTTGAGAGGTATCCTGGGCATTGGGAAGGTAGGCTTTCACACTGGTGTCTTGGGAAAGCAAGAGGTGTAAATATTGCACCAGGAAGTGGCTGGGGCAATTAATTAATTTATTTTTTTGTTTTTGGGGAAGTATGGATTTGGAAAAAACGAATTAATTTATGCTTAATCCTGTAGTCCTTGTTATTTGGAATTAATCAATTTACATTATCATTTTATCTCATTCTGTAAAGAATATTGTGTATAGAACTTCTTGTTTTGGTTGTGGAAGTAAGTAGGGTTTCCAGCATGTTGTTTCGACGTCATTGGTGGTTGACATTGTATATGACCAGTTTAAGAGTTCAGTTGACTGGTTGCAGTGGTAAGGTTCAAGTATGTCGATCTTCGTTTGCTTATTCAGTCCGTTTTTATTTTAATTTGCAAAATTTACTTAGTTTATATAGCATTTTTTTTGTTTAGGCCAAGGTTCGTATCCTTGACTCTAACTTGTTACTAGAAGTTACTTTGTTCTTTTTGATGTACATGTTTGGGAGATCTCAACTATTTTAATTGTGAATTAGTATTACGAAATGGTAGGGTATACTTTTCAGCATTTGATTAGACTTTTGAATGGGTGGCTTTTAACAGATAGATTGCATGTGCCTATCAAGATTTATGTATAATTGTTGCACCTTGGTTTGTATGCTGCAAAATCAAAAGCATTGGAGAGGTTTTACCGTTTTAGGCATATCTTTTGAGAAGGTGCACCTTTGGTAGATGTACATCTTTAATTTTTGCTGCCCATGGTTCATAGATTTGTATCTACTAAAGGGCTTGGTGGTGGGGTGCTTTTTTTTGGTTACGGTTCTGCAGAACATTGATGCAGTTTGAAGCCTTTGTTTTCTAGCTTTATCTGTCTTTGTTAAAATTGACTTCTAATAAATTCCTAGTCCTGTGAATCTTCAGTTGGCTGTTCAATATGATGCGAATCTGTTTCCTCGTTTTCAGGACATAGCATCAAAAATAATGGCCTTCTCACAGCAGGGACCACGTACAGTTTGTATACTATCTGCAAATGGAGCCATCTGTAACGTCACCCTTCGCCAACCAGCAATGGGAGGTGGCACTGTGTCCTACGAGGTTTGTATGCATTTGCCTTTAAGACAATTTCTGTTTCATTATCTTAGTTCATATAGTTTTACCTATCGTGCCTGTGCACCGGAGTTAATGGGAGCCTGTTCTAAAGTATCTGCTTTTCCATCTTATATACAAACTTTCACCTAACATTTTTAATACTTCTTGAAAAATTGACTCTTGACGTAGCATAGTTTGGAATATTTCCTGTAGTCCTTGCTAAGTTTATTTGTTTGTTTAATTGAATCCTCTTTTAAATGATTGTTAAAAAACTGTTGTGAACTGATACCATTTTTTGGTCCTTGTTATTGCCTGATTACTGATTAGAGGTTTGTATGAAACACATTAGTTACCCTGAGAATCTTGATTTGTGTCCTTGTACATTTTTGAGGCACATATCTGTCAGGTGGATTGATAACAAATACGGAGTTTAACTATAGAAGTGTTTGGTAATAGAAACCACATCTCTTTTTATCTGCTTTTTAATTCAATCTTTCCTCCTTTTTTTCTATTTCGTGTTAGACCTAGTCCTTGCTTTTCATGTGCACGTTTGTGTGATGGATGTGGTTTAAATGGGTTGAAACACTGGAAAGTCTTCAATGGATAGTAGTACACTCATAAATGCAATAATGCTTATAGATTTGTTTCTTGAGTGAGGCCTAGTTATTTGTGGGCAAAAAGCAAAACTGTTATTGAACAGTACTTTAGTTTTATTCTGAGATCTATTTGATCTTTTTATCTCAGCGTGAAACGTTGCTCATCTTCTTTGAGTTGGAAAACAACTTGGACTATATATAGGACATGACCTCATCTTTGCAATGCGGAATTAGCCATTGAGAATGAAGATCAAAATTCTTTTCTGTTTTCTGTTGTCATTTGTTTGACTTTGATATTTCTATTGTCTTCATTAGGTTGATATTTGAGATAGGTCTTATTTCAATTGACCTTGACTGCAATGGAGAGTAACCATTGATACAATTTTGGTTGCTAGAATTAGCTGTCTATTTAACCTTACCAATGATGGAAAGATAAAGGTGCATTTTATGCCATAAAAAGATCACTTTCTTAAGTTCTGTCTGAAGGATTGTCTTAAAATTGGATCCACTCTCTTAGGTCGCTTGCTTTAAGGAGATTGATAACTCTCTTCCCTAAAGCATCTTTCTAATTCTCTTGCAAAACTTAGGCAAACCTTTCCTTAGTAGATAACGAGGACTGACTACGTTAAAATGATAGTAAGGGGTGGCGGAGATTACTAGGTCACTATAGTGTTTAATTTGCTATCTGCGTCCTTCAGTCCTTGCAATGTTACTTTCCAGGCTAACATTTGGTTAGACTGTAAAAAAAGTAATTCGCTTTGTTCGATTGCAGGCTTACAGAAACTGGCCTTGAAAATAGGAGAATTAATAGTTTATGATGAGCATATACTTTAAACTTAAAATATTTTATAATCAAACAGCACGGGTCAGGATATTTATGGGTAGGTTTTCTCCCCAAAGCAGACTTGTGTTTTCTAACCATAGGTAATAATTTCCATAGTGCTTAAACAAGGTTTATTTAGCGCCAATCATTTCTTTAAGAATCATTATTTGCTTGCGGTTCACTTATAATTTTTTTTATTTGCTCGAGGTTCTGTTAAGCTCAGTTAGGCGAAGCCATTGAGAGGTAAAAGCATGAAATAGAGCAAGGTTTTCCCCTTTCAAACGTATATAGTTACCAATTTGCCAAGTGAACTTTTAGTTATTGAGATTGAACTCCTTTATTTGGAGATCCAGGGCTAGTCAAGTTTGATTTTTGATGCTTAGAGAGCTTTAAAGTTGCGGTCAAACTTGACCTGATTAGATATATATTTGATGAGCTAATTTAACTGATCGCAAGTGAGCTTCAGTTGATTGGTTCTTTTGTGCATAGCTTTTAAATTGTGGTTATAATTGGCTTGCTTAAATTTGCCATTTGGAACAATGCAGAAAAAGGATCATTTGTGTTTAGACATAAACAAACAAGTAACAACAAGAAAAATATTAATNGGGGGGGGCTTGAGGGACCCCAGCAGTGAAGCTATTAAATTATTCCTTTTCACGGAAGAGGATTCCATCTTTTTAGATAAAAGCTCTTCAAAAACTGTGTTTTGGAGCCTTAAATCGCCCTAGGATAGAAAGAGAATGGACAAGTATTGTGGAAAATGGTGGGGTAGTTAACTTTTATATTTACCCATTTGTGAATATGGGTCAAATGGGTTATTGACCCATTTGGTGAGTAGGTATGGGTTGGTTAACGGTTTTATTAAATTAATTAGAGGATTAGGATAGCCGCATCAGATTTCGTGCCAAAATTTGCATCTTCCAGCCACTTTTATATTTCTTTTAACTAGGCTTTAGAAAAATGATTTTTAAGTGACAGAAAACGCAAAGCGTAATTTGAATGACCATTAGTGAATTGTGCATATGATCATGTGGAGCTTAAATGGAATCTTAATTGATCAATGTACTTTTCTAGAGCATGGTATTGCTAACCTGATTGTGAGTGGCATCGGATGAGTTAGGTTGTTGGCTTGTAATACACAGAATTATTTAGTATATTACCTATACTAATAATCTCATATGATATATGTATATTATTCTCAACAAGTAATCTCATGATATATTTTAATATGCAGGGCCGATTTGAAATCATCTCCTTGTCAGGTTCCTTCCTGCGGTCGGAAAGTAATGACAGCAGCAGAGCAAGTGGTCTAAGTGTGTCGCTGGCTGGTTCAGATGGTAGAGTATTGGGTGGTGGAGTTGCAGGAATGCTTATGGCTGCCACGCCCGTGCAGGTGCTGTTCTATCTACCTTTGTACCCCTCCCCTCATGTGTGAGTGGACTATATGTCATTAATAACTGTTTTTTAAGTTCATGACCAGGTAATTGTAGGTAGCTTCATTGCAGAAGGGAAAAAGCCAAAGTCTAAGGCACCATCTTCAACACCACCATCCAATATGTTGAATTTTGGTGCTCCAGTCACAGAAGCGAGCCCTCCTTCTCAAGGTGCCTCAAGTGACTCATCTGATGAAAATGGCAACAGTCCTTTCCACCATGAACCAGGACCCTTTGGTAATGCTGGCCAACCTATGCATGGTATGTCCATGTTTGCAAATATGGGCTGGCCAAAATCACTGTGAAAAATGCTTCCTTAGTTGACATGACATTGCCAACGATATTTGACTTTCCTCATTCCCTACAATAGAGTTGGCAATATATTCGCGATGCTAACAGGCAGAGTATAGGCGTTTCTTGAGTTCTCGACTTGAGCTTATTTTCCTTCTATTTCCCCCCTTACCTTTCCCCACTTTAATATTTTTCCTTTTGGTATGTAGTTGATTTGTACTAGCTGAGGTAAAAAGCATGGCTGATTTACAGAAAGCCATTTCCATGGTCGCTTAGGTGACATTTGGTTGAGTATTTGTTTTAACTTTGTAACTTCTTTTAGGAATTACTCCCTCCGTTCACTTTTACTTGTCCGCTATTGATTTTGTACACGCTTTAAGAAATACTCTTTCCGTTCACTTGTCTACTTTAGACTTTTCACGTTCCTTAAGAAATAATAATTGTAATATGTATTTTGCCATATAACCCCTAATAATGATAGCATTTTAAAAAGTCTTGGGAAATAATTTGGGGAATAAGTCGTTAATGATTAGGGTAAAACAAGAAAAGCAGGTTGTCTTTTTCTTGATTTGCTAAAATGGACAAGTAAAAGTGAATGTATTTTTAATATAATGAACAAGTAAAAGTGAATTAAGGGAGTAACAAATAAGGTGTATAATTTATCATGATATCCATTTTAATAGATGTATAGTCTTACAACTTAATTGGATGGTTGTTCCCTGTTGTATCGTATTGTATTGTTATCTTAAATAATGTTTGTTTTGATTGTTTCATAAAAATTGATTGTATTGTATTGTTAAATTCATTGTTCCAGAACAATAAAAAGTCCCTTTTTTTAAACAACTGATTTGGTGTGGTGGGGTTATTTTCTATTTTTCTTTTCAATTATGCCCTAACTTATTAGTCCACAATTCTATTTTACCTTTTACCTTTTTTTTCTATTTTAACTCCAAATCTCTAACCTATAACCTACTTTGTTTTTTTCTCTAGAACTTCTGCCACCAACGTTAAAGGTGTTTTGTCGATTTCTGTTTTATTTTTTCTCTTAATTTGCTTTTAACTCAATTCTAATTAGCCATGCTATTTTGTTTTGCCTTCTTCTGTCACGCTCCTTTGTTCTGCTTTTTTAAGGTGTTTTGCCTTCTTCTGTTTTATTTTTTTAAATTATTTTTATGCATAACTTTTAATAAATTTAATATTTAAACAATTGAGGGTATTTTAGTCAACTTATCAGTTACAGTGCAGTACGATACAGTCAAACCAAACAGTAAAATATTATTTAACAATAACAAGCGATACAATATATCCAAATATTGTATTTATAAAACGATATGATACAATGCGATACAATACATTATAAAACGACGGGGAACAATAATCCAAACAGAGTGTTAATTGATTTGGAATGAGTAATTATTGCTAAGGGCAAAATAGAAAAAATAAATTATTTTTTTCTTGATATATGAAGTATTAAGTAAAAATGAAAATTTAATTTTAGAATATTTGATAACTAAAAGTGAACGGAGGGAGCACTTGATTAGAAATTCTTCTAAATGGATGGAGTGGGATATGCACTTTTCATCTCTTATCCTCTCGTAAGCTACTAACGTTATACTAAGAGAAAATGCATAAAGTATCCCTTAAACTTGTCAGGAAAAATCATTTACACACCTAAATTTTACAGGCGAACTTTTACCCACTTATTCTAATCTTAAGTGAATTTAATACCCCATTGAGTGATGACCTGGCATGAAAAGTGCTGTTCATTTCCTAGATGCGCGTGAGGCACAAAAAATAGCTTAAAACTAATTTAATTGTCTAGGTGTCACTTTCCTATTGGATACTCTAACTAATTAAACTTAATACTAATTTTTTCTTTTTTTTATTCATTTTTTCTTTTCTTTTCCTCTTTCTTCATTTTAACAGAACCATGGTTCTCCACTAGCCTGCCATTATTATCTTGTGTCATCCTCTTCCTCCCCATGCTTGGAAACTAGTCATGTTTTATTTTTTTGCTTCTCTGTTTTTCTTGTTGAATCTCTATTTCCACTCCTCTTTTTCCTCTGTCATATTCACCAACCTTTACAAACTCCATTTTATATTTTCTCCCTTTAATCTCCTCGATTTGATAGAAACATAAGTTCTCTTAAGCAATTGGGTCATGAATTTAGGTTGGAATAATTTTAATACTTGATTTGTGTCACGATCCGAATTTCCCACCCTTGGGAGTCGTGATGGCGCCTACTCGTGAAAGTTAGGCATGCCGCGTATTATAGAGTCACTAACTCTTTTATTTAGCCCATTTTAACAATTTAAATTAGCATGCGATCAACAGTGAAATATTAACGATAAATAAATACAAGTGAAAGACGTAATATGATAATTTAGCTAAAACCAGTACGACAATACCAACATACATCTCTACCCGGTGTCACACCTCCTTTTTGCGCGCCCGCCCCGAAGGATTGAATGCGTGAGGGAGTTTTTCTAATTTAAGTGACAATATTCGAAATGAGATTATTTATTTAATTCAGAGTCGCCACTTGGGAAAGGTTTGGCTTTTGGTGTCCCAAGTCACCGGTTTATCTTGAATCCCAATTCGAGGAAAATGCTCAACTTTCCAAATGAAGTCTGCGAACCAGAAATTCTAAGTAAGGAATTCTGTTGACCCGAGGGAAGGTGTTAGGCACCCTCGAATCCCGTGGTTCTAGCACGGTCGCTTAAATTGTTATAATGGCTA